AAAAAAAAAAAAAAAAGAACTGCCCAACTATTTCGCAAAGTAGTTATACCACTTTGCTTTCATACGTAAAAAGATTTCAAAAAGATTAAACCGTATAAAGCAGTGTAAAGGGGACTTGCTCTCCCCAGGCTCCTGGTTGTCACTGAGTGAAGCACACCGCAGGAAGCTGGAGCAGGCCTGGGGCACGGCCCAGCACAGTACAGAGTGCCCAGGGGGACCCTGCTCTGCATTCCTCAGGGCATGCTAGTCATACCTGGACTAGAACCTTCTGCTTGTTTTTCTGGCCCTTTCCACTCTAAGGGGCTCCTTGAAGGCAGACACCATACAGCGATTCAACTGTAGTGCTCAGTACAGTGTGGGAAGGAAACAGACACCAAAGCCAGAACACTGTGGGAGGAGGAGGGGAGAGAGTTACCTCCTCAGACCTTAATCCACTTACGCCATCAGTGTTCTGTTGGCAACAAGAGGGGCTCTACAGCGCGGCGTATGAGGGGCATTACCAGCCACTTTCTGAGATCCACCATGCAATTTTCTTTGCTGTGAAACTTCAACCTCACAGATTACAGATGCCCTGTGGTTCAAAGAGCATTTCTCCTACCATTGCTGCGTTGAAAATAAAAATGCACTTGATTAAAAAGAAATTTTAATAAAGTTTTGAACCTAGAAACAGAAGGATCTGTTCACATGGGGCTTCATGCAATTCCTTCCTTTTTCTGAGACTTACAGTCAACTACATAAAATGGACTTGACTGGTTTTACTCCAAGTATCCACTTAAAGAGAAAACCTGGTGAGGCTTTGGCACGTGGATCCTGTAACCAGGTGCTGAAGTGGGTAGCATCTTGCCTGCAGCTCGAGGGCCTTCACTATTCCCAGTGATGCTGGTCTATTAGTACGGTGAGGGGGCAAAGGGGAAGGGATGTGTTCTCTGCAACTCTACTTTAGAACTTAGAACAGAAGAGAGGAACTATAATCACATGTAACTTCTTTTTCTATGTAACTATATTAAAAAATACCTAGATCATCTATCTATGCCGATTAATAATGCACATTTCTGTAATTCTGAAGCAATCTTACAATGAAAAAAAAAAAAACAAAAAAACTAGGCTACAACTAACATTCACTTTATTCAATTTTGTTCTCTTGACTTAGAAGGCAACAAACCACCACATAAAAAAGGGAGCATTTTAGAATATATACACATAAAATTGGTCTGGGTATCTAAGGTGTTTGCTTTAATAGAAAATTGATGTCCCAAATAACTACGTGTTCTATTTACCCTCTAAGACAGTCATTCCTAGGCCTTACAGTCATTACATTTCCATTACGGTACTACTTTACTCTCATGACAGAACGAGGCACTCATACAAAACAGATGGGAATGAAAACAGATATACACTGTCCTAACTTTATTGTATCCATGCCAAACATATTGCTAGAGGTTTGAATGAAACCCTTACCTAAAGTGGTTGCTTTTAAAAATGACACAGGGCAGTAAGAGGGAGAGAAGGAAACGTGCCCAAATTAATAAGGAGATACAGACAGCCCAAGGGAGTGAGAGAATCTCCACAAACGAGGTTTTTAATAATACTTTGGTGGCAAGACATTTTACTTTTGTCTCTTCTTGATGGGAACTGAGTAGGCAACATTCTAAAGCAGTCTTTTAAACATAATCATTTCATTTTACAATGTATAAAACTGGTCATTAGAGCTTAAAATACTCAATCCTGAAAGTGAGAAGAATAGGTAGCTAACCTGTGAAGTTGAAAAAAGTGCCAGTGTTCTTAAGACTGGCGCTACATTCTCATGTGTGTGCGCACACGCACGTGTGTTGGGGGGGTGTAAACACAATACAATGGAGAAATGTCCACTGCTTCTTTGTTTTAAAAAGTCATGAATTCAACCTAAATTCAAGAGTTACATTTTAATAATAGCATTTGCCAATACAGAAATGACATCTCTAAGACCAAATCATTTAAGAAAAGGTTATTCTCTATTACTTGAATAAGGGAAAGAAAAAAACACAAGAATCCACAGTAATAACAGCTATATTAGATGTTGAAATAAAAAATTACTTTTTGTTTACATCTGGAATTGAGATGTCCAATTTCCACTGTTTCTCCAGCAAACAGGAAAAAAATCACCTAAAAACATGGAACTTTAAGGCTAGCTATACATAAACTTCACATTGGCATTTTCTTCAGTTTTCACCTCAACTATTAGTATTTAGTAGTTTAAAAATCAAACATAATTTGCTAATAAGGAACAACTGCACACTTCATACTATGACCATTTGATAAGTGGTCATGTGAAACTAACTCCCAAATGTTGATTTGTTTTCAATTTATAAAGTTAAAAATAAAGCAAAAAGGTCCTTCCTAATTAACTTCCTTGAAGACATGTAAAATGAAGCAAAACTATGCTATTTTATATAAAAAAAAAATCTACAGGAAGAAGGGCAGCAATACTAGGACTTTCTGAACTAGAGGTTTCAAATGTTTATAAGACTGTTGGTTAATAATAAAATCCTGATGCTACCCATGTAAATATTATGCCAGCAAATGCTTTCCTTACGGAAGTATTCATCTGATCGAAAAGAGGACAAAGCACAACTGAAAACCAAGAGGAAATCCTTAAGTACAACAAGATAAAGTTATCACCAGTGAAATGGAGGGCAACTTTTGGCCATTCATACACATTCATATATAAGTTTGGTTTTTTTTTTTGTTTTTGTTTTTTTTTACAAAATATCTGGTAAGATTCATTTAAAATTCTGTAGAATAACAATTTTTAATCTTTTATGGTATCTGCCTAGAGCTCTTCCTGGTAAAACAGATAAATGTGTTCCAATGACTTTATATCAAGATCTACAAATTCTCTGAAAAATTAAAAAAGAAATTTAAATTAATATAATCAAGTTATGTGACCAATTGATAATATTTTTCTCCCAAAGAGAACAATTTATATAGAAACACACCACAACAGGTGGCATTACATTTTAAAATGCTCTTAATTTTTTAAAGTAGGACTAAATTTCTAAGTAAAGGTAGGGTTAAGCAAAGACCTTATTTCAGATTACAAGAGAAAGGACTGCTACAAAGTGCCAAAAAGTGTAACACTGAACCCTAAGTCAAGCTTTTTTTTTTGATACTGATGTTTTAAAATATATTTTTAAAGTAAAGTAATCACCACACTTTGGGAAAAATTGTTGAAATATAAAACAACCAGAACATGTTTGTTTTGGTAGCTTATGTTTGGCTGACTTTAATATTTAAAAAATCTTCAGATTAGACTCTATACATTTTAATACTATATGGAAACTCTTTAAGAGTTCCTGAAGACCTATGCTGTCCATTTTTCTCTGAGAATTTCTAGGTTATTATTCAAAAGCAAACACCACCCTTACAATATACCATTACCATTAAATACTTGGATTATGTGCCCAACTGTTCTATTTCTCTAAACTCCTTACTTGAAGCTTTGGTTATAAGGGGAAACCAAATTTATAAGTATTCAGTTTTCTGAGATTTTACAACACATTTCCAATGAAATACATTCTTCACTCCTATGTTGAAAGGCCAGCTCAAGCCAGCTTCCTTCTGGACAACTACAATCAAGTTGGTTTTATTTGTAGTTCAATTCTGTAAATAAAAAGCTCTGGCAACTTTGGGATTTACTCATGGAAAACTAGGAAAAATGTACTCCCTAATCCTCACCCAACGGTGCACTAACCAGCAGGACCAGGTGTTCTAACCAGTCTTCTCTAATGCTGCTGGTCTAAGACCACAAACCATATCTACATTTAAGAAACATCTCAGTGTGTTCTAATTCCAGTATGATGCATTGTTGGTGATGTTATTTTATAAGACTTGTGATCCTGCATGACTTCTGGCCACTGCTGCCAAAAAGGAAAAAAAGACAGCTGTGTATGGAAAAGGGGGGCTGGAGGGAACTAATGAAAATGTTCTTGTGGACTTGTTTTCTCTAAACATAGACATGCCCCTAACAAGCACAAAATCCCAACCCCTAATGCTGATCACTAGGAATATTAAATTATCAAAATTAAAAAGAATTTCCTCACCTAGCACAAGATACTATACAATATTATAAACACAGACATGTGAAAAAAAATCAAGCAGTAGAAAATGTACAACAGCTTTGGTGCTATACAAAATAACTTCCAAAAACGATTGACAGTGAAGCACAGAGTTCATGTTCTCTTACCACAAACACTCCACTGCTGATTTCTACTTGTTTCCTTTCAAGTTCTTGGTGAGGTCTGAACAGCCAAGAAAGACAGAATGTACAGTTTACTTAATACGAACCGCTAGGAACACCATGATACTTGCGCTCCAAAAGACGTCATTAAAAAGTCTTGCCTTTGCACTATGGCTCTGTGGCACGTTTCCTGTCAAGATCACAGCAGGTCCAAAATAAAGTGACAACTAGATTTAATAAATTAATATACATTTTGTTTAAAGATGTACAATGCACATTCTGTTTAATCCAAGGTTTTAGGGTATCCAGGAACTTCTATTTACACATGTACAGATCTCAAACAGCTATGATGTCGGAAGATGCAGGAAGGGCAGCAGAGCCTTGCACTGCTGCTCTCTGAATGCTGAGAACACAAGTCAAATACAGTTAACTTAAAAACAATGCTGAGAGATCACTGGGAAAAATCTCCAAAGAGAGAAGTCCACAAAAAAGGACACGTAAAGGCAAGGGGAAGGTCAAGGTAGCTGAGACAACCACTTTATTCTTGGGACGACTGTGGAGGTGGCGGAGATGTGCCTTGTTTGCCAGATTTCCGTTCATAATTCACGAGGCGTTGGCCCACAAGGTATCTAGGTTGTAAAAACAGGGTGGTTACTCTTACATGATCTTACATATTTAAACATTCTTCCTAAGAGCAGCCAGGGATACAGTTTTTAAATGCAAATCAGATCATTCCAACTTAAAACCCTGCAATGGTTAGATCGGTAGAAGGGAGCTCGAGAATGAACACCTGGCAAGAGGCGCACAAGCAGCCACCTCACAGGGAGTTGCAGGCCAGTGGGAAAACAGGAGAACGGCAGATGTTGGAAGGTCTCAGATGCTGGGCAATGGAGCATGTGCTCTGGTCCATATGTCAGGGGTTCTCACAAACTCACACACTTGGGAGGTAAGGCACAGTAAGCTTTTTCAGGGGATTTCTCTGGTAAAGATATTTTATAAAACAGCTTAGTGGACAGATCCGAAGAAAAACAGACTAGAATTATGGCCTTCAGAAAGCTAGGTAGGGAGGCAAGGGGACCGGAAAACCTCTAGCTCTAGAGAAAAGGAGTAATCAAAGGGCAAAGTTTTCAATGAGGTCAAAGGGGAGATGGCAGAGAGGTGAGTGAATGCAAGGAACAGAAGGCAGGAGGTTGTGGCCCAAGAACAGAGCACTGTGTGTTCCTAACTCACATGTTATGTTGAGAGGGAGGAAAGGGCCAAGGATGCAGCCGCTGCAGAACTAGAAACAGAAGTGACCATGCTGGAATGACAAGATGTCACATCCCCAGGACGACAGCAGCCATTGTGGAGAAGCAGTGGTGTGCCTCACTAAATGGGGGGATTGGCCTGCAGGTTGACCCTCGGAGGACAGTGGCTGACCAAGCTGAGGACGTCGCAAAGAGCTCCAGGAGGCCGGGGTGACAGGTGCCCATTTGGAGTCAGCACTGCAGACTAAGGAGTGGCCTGTAAGTCCTTAGCCACCTGTGCAAGCAGGGGAGAGTGAAGCCAGCCCGTGACAGGGTGGCCCGGGAGCTGGGTCTTTGAGACCCAGTTTACTCATCAATAAAGTAAGAACAACAGTACCATGTCCCATGATCACTGTAAGAAACAGAAAGCATACAAAGGCCATGGCAACAAAGGCCTGGCATGTGCTAAAGACTCAGGGTAGAAACTTTCACCATTACTTTTTCTACCTTGACCTTCACCTACCACTTTTCTGCTAATAAATACTAGCCTAATGAGGTATTTTGGCAGTTTATGCCAAGTAGCTTAACGTGTCACTTTTTAAAACATTTCACTAATCCTACGGTTTCTTCATCCATGATCCCACTGTTTAATACTTTCTGTCTTCCCAATTCATTTCTAAAAGTTTACGACTCCTTTCCACACTGTTCCCCAACTAACAAGTGGATTTTTAAACTGTGAGAATTTTATAAGTGTTTTAAACAATGACAACTGAATTGACTCTAATGTAATACACACAGCTCTACCTGACATACACGTCATCACAAAACATACCAAGTCATGTCAAGGGGTTAGCATTACGGCAATGAAAAGGCAATGAAAAGCATAGAAAGAAATGGTGTGAGTTAACTTGCCCAGGACCAAAAAGTAACTCAGTGGCAGAAAAAGGAGACTCTGAACACATCCCCCACTTTCCCTAATGCCCCAGCACCCTCTTGTGCCCTGGCCGGCCCCACGCACAGCCCACGCTCAAATACTGCTAGAGAACAGGTAAACAACAGCACCCAAGATGGGGCCTCTAGGGAGCCTGCACTTCAACAGTTTTCTACATGAAGGAACAAATGGGGAGAGAGAAAAGAGTACACTGCGCTGCAGAAAGTGACAAATAAGAAAGGCTGGGAGGGGGGTGAGAAAGGACACCGGGGCAGCTGAGCAGGGGAGCAGGCCGGGGCACAAGCACTGAAGAAGAAAGCAGCAGAAGCCGAGGCCGTGTCTCGTTTGCTTTCTGCCTGCAGAACTTATTCGTCATCCTAAACAAGCAAAGTGACACGAACTGACATTCATCACTGACATCCCCCCCTCTCTGTTCTTTCTTGGTGGACAGAATTTTCTACTCTGACCGCCGAAGTGTACTTGTCCTTTTACTGCCAGCAAATGCTTTGGAGAAACCTTGAACATCCTGAATTTCATTCTTAAAAATATTACTCTTACGAATCCTCAGAGTAAATAAGGTGACCATATAATCTGCTGTCTAAACTGAGACACTCACAAATAAACGGGGGTATTGTTAACAAGGACACGAGATGGCACGTGTTCACTGGGACTTTCCAGGCAAACCCGGATGGAGAGTTATAAACTCCCCTTCCCTGCTGGACACCACTAAACCAGAAGAGGACTCAGCTTTCTGTCAGAACACGGAAGGTGAGAGGGCGATTATCCCCGGAAGGTGTTTCCCTTGGCCGCTGTCAGTCTCTCACTGAGGTCAGGTCACAGTGTCCCCCAAACAGAGGCCCTACAATACTTCTGCAGGGGCCTCACAGCCTCCCTCAGCAATGATCAGAGTAACCCAGTGGTCCCCCGCTGCAGGCAGGGCTGAGGCAGGTTGAGTCCTCATGCAGGCTTCTTATTTTTATCCAAAACTATTTAATATATTGTCAGACCAAAACATTTGGAAACAGACTAAAAACTATTTGGAACGGGCATTAGAAAGTCTTCCTCCCCTTTCCTAGTTTCTCCTAGTCTTTTCATCTCCATAAATAACTATGTATGCCCAGTTGCTTGGCCCAACTGAGTCCTTGATAACGCTTTCTTCACACTCAACATCCAATCTGTTAGCGAATCCTATTAATTCTACCTCAAAATATATCCAGAATCTGAACACTCTTCCCAATGATGACTTATATTAGAAAGAAAAATTAAAAAATGAGACATCTTAAGCTAGATGAATGGACGTCTAGACTTACTTGTCATTTTTAATGTGTTCATAAAGGCGCTTGAACTGGCGGACCTGGAAGGACAAGATCCCCATCAATACCACAACCATCAGTAAAAATGGATAAATTCGCCGGTGGACCAAGTTTTGCATTTCCGCAGTAACACCTGTAAAACCAAAAAAGAAAAACTCTAAGTGTATGTGGAAGGACAGGGAAACGAAAATATGTTCTTCCCCTAGGAAGAAGGGACTGGTGGTGCTCAATTAAAACTGAAACTCGTGTGTGAAATGGAACGAGGCCTGGAGTGAGGCCAGAACGCAGCGGTCCCAGAGAGAGGAGCCTCATGAACCACGCCAAGGGGCGGGACCATGCTTTCAAGGCCACGCAGGAACCAACAAGAGGATGTTCACTAACGAGGAACAGTGAGAGTCATTCAAAAGAAAGGTCATTGTGGAGAGTCAATTAGTGGCGGAGGCTTCAAATTAGGGAAACCACATAGGAGGCCACTGCGGTTACGGTGAGAGCCATGGGGAAAGGTGCCGGATTAGAGAATGGATTCGGGAGGCTAGGTCAGCGGGACTTGGGGACCATTTGAGTAAGGAAGGCAGAGAGACTCAGGTGACACAGATGACCTACAAGGTTTCTGACTCATGCAGCCTGTTGGGTAACACTAGTCACTGAGAGGGGGAACTCAGGAGAAAAAGATTTGGAGGGGAAAACTTTGTGCTTATCATTCTGAACATATGCTGGGTTTAAGGTCCTGTGAGGACTCTTCAGCACACAATTGATAATATCTAGTTATCAGCCCCTCTTTGCTTTTCCTTTTATGGTAAAGAACGTTTTGAAAATTAAATATAACAACATTTTCCCTTGATTTTACAAGTATGGGATCACAGCACTTCTAGTCAGGAGACAACCTGAAGGAAATCTGTTCCTATTTTGGGGACAGTGTAAATGTTAATACTTTCTCACCTAGAGAAAAAAACTATACCAAGGAGCTTTATGATTCTCCAAATCTTGCCCTAAGTTGTCAAGTCTAAGAAAAATAGTCTTCTGAAATCACTGTTTTAGCTAGATTTATATTTACAACTTAATCATATGGAGCCAGACGGCCTATGATACTGGAAGTGACACTAATATAGTGGTGTTCATAAAGGTGCTCTCTTCAGCTCCCCAGCCAGCATTACCCACCTAGTAAAGGAACAACGCCGGACGCTATGACGTAAGGTACACACAGGGAAAGCAAGAGCACAGAGATCACTGGCGCTGCCAATTTACGAATGATATAGTGAAGGTCAATGTTCCGGATGCCATTTGCATAAACCTGAAACATGAAGGAGAAAATCAGAACAAGGATACATGACAAATTCCTCCAATTAACAGAGCAATCTCTACTGAATCCAAGCCACAGGGAGTTAAATTTATTGGTTATTTTTCCCAAAGTCAAGACAAATTTTGAACACCAACCTAAGTATGGTGCTCACAAAGTTTTTACAGAAATGCATTTACTTCCTTACACTTTGTAGTTAACTCTGCTGAGGGATAAAATAAGACACCAATTGAGAATCCTGACTACACTAGCTTGCACCATACAATGCCAGACACATCCAATAATGTTAGATGAAGACCACATAACCTGAAACAACGGCACACACATCTTGTGTGAGTGATCTGTATTATTACTCAAAATTGCATTCATTTCATCTGAATATAAGAAAACATTATCAACAGGAAACATGTTCCTGAAAAGCCTGTATAAATGAAATTTTGACAAATCAAAGTTATTTTATATAAAAATTTAATATGAAAGAATTCTACAGTGAATTTTTTTTTACTTCAAGAATTTCTACAATATTTTCATCATATTCAGAAAGTTCTAATGAATAGTACTTCAGGGGAAAGAACGAATGGAAGTGGGAAAACTTTGGGAATAACGGAAAATAAAGATGGTGTGCAGAGGGGGACAGAAGAAGACTGTTCCTGTTTTCTCCCCAGCACTTGAACTTGTGGCCCCAGCAGAGTACCCTGCAATTCAACCCAATCCCTCAGGAATGGGCCAGAGCATTCAGATGTGCATCACAATAGGCTTAACCCTCCAAAGGCATGCTTCCAATCCAAAGAAACCTATTTAACCCAAATGCATTTAAATCAATGCAACAAGGCACCCCAGTGTTTCTCAAACCTTTTACTCAAACTTACACATATGTAAGAGAAAAGAAGGCGTCAGAGAGCAAAATATTAAAAAGATCAACAATGTTTCACAGCCTCCAACTGTGATTAAACCCTTATTCTTCACACTCCTTTGCAAGGGCCAGAGTCTCACCTGGAGACTCCACAGTGGAGAGATGCATGTGAACATACAGCAACTCCCTGGCTCACCCTACCTCCAGAAATCTCTGGGTTCAGGAATTTTTTTTGACAATTTTCTTGTGCATACTGAGCTGAGAACTACTGTCTTTATTTCCTATACATCAAAAGGAGATGTACCTTTACTGCTACAGAACTGTAACACCTATTTGGCACTAACCTAAGGATAAGAGTGTTGCCCACAAGTACATTTTCTAGACAATTAAAATTTAAAGAAGTATGTACCAAAATCTGTTATGTTAGTTATTTTAGATAGAAATCTTCCTGAAGTGAATTATCGTAATTCCCAGCCTATTATCAGAGTACAGAAGCACAATCTACTTTTTTCAAGGTTATCACCACAATGATCAAGTTATCTGACAGTTCCAACAATAGAGTAATAGTCTTAGGTGCTATGCAGCTAGAATATTCCCAAACAGCTTTGCTTTTTCTTAAATTAAGATACGTGTTTTTATTTTTACTATTTTTTAAGGCTCTGGGATATATATATTTTTAAGTTTTTATTTTAATTATAGTTAATAACATACAGTGTTTTATTAGTTTCAGATGTACAGTTTCAGCTTTACTTTATCAATCTATTTTTTCCTGCCCTTTATTTTTTTTTTATTTTTTTAAAGACTTTATTTATTTATTTGAGAGAGAGAATGAGAGAGAGAGCATGAGAGGGGTGAGGGTCAGAGGGAGAAGCAGACTCCCTGCTGAGCAGGGAGCCCGATGCGGGACTTGATGCCGGGACTCCAGGATCATGACCTGAGCCGAAGGCAGTCGCTTAACCAACTGAGCCACCCAGGCGCCCTCCTGCCCTTTATTTTTAAAAAGATTTATTTATTTGAGAGAGAGAGAGAGGGCGTGTGTACAAGCAAGAGGGGCAGAGGAGAGGGAGAGAGAATCTCAAGCAGACTCTGCACTGAGCACAAAGGTGGACACAGGGCTTGTCACGACCCTGAGATCACGACCTGAGACAAAACCAAGAGCTGGATGCTCAATCAACTGTGCCACCCAGGTGCGCCTGCCCTTTATTTATTGTCTTGAACAGTAACCGCTTTACTCTACTACAGATTTAGAAAACTGAATACCAAGCCTACATCAGAACTCCTGCCCTGAAAAGAAATCATATATGCTAATTTTGGCCTTTACTTTAGACAGGGTTTTAGGTACTCTAAGCCACTGGTTAAACTTCAGATAAGGGAAGTTTTAAAATAGTGGCTGATGAAAATTCATGGTGATAAAACAGCGAACTGTCTTCTTCTTTTAAAAAAAAAAAGTTATATATGCTTATTAGAGAAAATGTGTAGAAAACTCAGAAAGGTGGAAAAACGAAACGGAAGCACCCCAGCGGCCAAGTACAACCTCTGCCACTCACAGTCTCTCCTGAAAGCTGACTCTGCTCACCTGCTCAATTACTGTTTTCAACCACCACTGAGGACCCATCAGTGTTATAGCTGCAATGATTTTGGCGTGCAGGACTCCAAGTGCCCAGTCCTAGGGAAATAAAACCATTTAAGATTTATTTATTTGAGAGAGAGCGAGCAGGGGGAAGGAGACAAGTAGGGAACCCGATACTACGTGGGGCTCGATCCCAGGATCCTGAGATCATGACCTGAGCTGAAATCAAGAGTAGGGTGCTTAACTGACAAAGCCACCCAGGCGCCCTGGGAAATAAAAACCACTTAACAGATTTTCATTTTCAGCAATAAACCCAGCATAGAGGCTATATAATTTTCCTGCATATTTCATTTCAAACCAGAAGTTCTGCAGGATTAGTAACAATTTTACAGAAGACTAACAAACACTAGAAAACCCAGGGAAATTGCCCACCCTCCCCCACACCCGCACCCCCTACCAGAGCTCAATTTCACCGTTTCTAACAAAACAAATTCTAGTATATTTCAGAAACCTACAGTACTTTTCCAAGAGAATTAGGAAATAAATAAAACAGTGCCATAATTTTGTTTCATCAAACCACCTTAGGCTGCCGTGTTGGTTTTAGCCAAGCTAATTATGTCAAAATAGCCTGTGGAGCCATGTTCGGCCTAAAGAAACTATCCCAAAGGCTCACAGAGAGCTCCTAGCTCTAGTACTGCTGAACTGCTATTAGAACCTCCAGGGCCACACCAGGCTCCCCGCTGTGCCTCTGGCCTGCTCATGCCAGTGTCCCACCCGTGCTCCACCGGGCAGCCGGAGTCATTGCCACCCCCACCCTCCACCACGTGATGACTCAAAGCCCAAATCAGACCACATAAGGGCAATTCCCTACTTACAACCCCAAGGTCCTCAGCATGGCACACAAAATCCTTCATAGCCTGGTGTCTGGTTTTGTTTTTTATGTATTATTTTATTTATTTTTTAAAAAGATTTTATTTATGTATTTATTTAACAGAGAGCGAGAAAGAGAGAGCGAGCGCATGTGAACACAAGTAGGGGAAGCAGCAGCAGAGAGAGAGGGAGAAGCAGACTCCCCGCCGAGCAGGGAGCCCGACGTGGGGCTCGATCCCAGGACCCTGGGATCATGACCTGAGCCGAAGGCAGACACTTAACGACTGAGCCATCCAGGCGTCCTTTAATGTATTTTTTAAAAGATAACATGGAACATTTAGATCTATTCTTATATAAAACCAAAACCTTTTGCAGAGAAGGCTGGAGTCCTCGACTACCAGCCCAAGTCCTGATTCCTCCCCAGCAACGACCACTGCTAACACTGGTATGTACCCTCCACATTTTTTCCCCTATGCATTTACCTGTATCTGCACATATTCATCCCACAGAAAAGATGTAGTATCATTTTTATATGGATTTTGCTCATACCGTTTTTCCTTTTCATTGTCCACCATCTTCAGGCTAATGTTCTGATTTACTGATTTGGTTAGTATTCTGACAATCTTCTTTAAATGGGATCAAAGGTTGACGTATGCTCTGAATTCTTGCACATCCTAAAAATGGCTCATCACTCTGACAAAAAGCTAAATGACATTATGCCAGGATATAGGAAGCTTGGTTTGTCTCCCTTTTCTCTCAATGGCCTATAGATGCTCTTCTGCTACATGGCTTGTGGTGCTACAGAAAAAAGTTCACTACCAATATGATTCTCTTTTTTGAAGTTTGACTTCTCTTTACCTTTAGAATTCAGAAATCTTACCAAGATATGCTCAAATATGTGTTTTTCTTATCAGTTTCATCTCAATGTCCACTTCACCAAATCTGATGAGTCCTTTAACATACAGAATCAGGACTTTCTTCAATTCAGTTAAATTTTTCTATTTCATTCCATGTTGCCTCATTTCTGCACTCTGGAGCTCTTATTAGGGGATGTTAAATTCCCTTCACCTTCCTACTTGTTCAGTTTTGCTCTGTGCTGGGCAGTGGTCTTCCAGGAGCCCAATCATAACTTCAATGGTGACTACCCAAGTCTTTAATTCATCTACTGAATGTCTGAGATCCATGCGATTCAGCATCACAGTTCCACTTTGTTTTATTGCCATTGTGTGTGCATACACACACACTCCCCTTGATCTCCTGCGTTTTTATTCTTCTGTTTGGATGCTCATGGCTTGGTGAGCAACCAGTTCCATGTCACAGGGCATGTGTTCTGATTGCTCTGCCTGACCTGTTTTTCTGTTGTTGCTGTGCACTCCCTTAGATAAAGCATTTGGTTATTTTTCTCTGCAGGTTCGATGAGGCTCAGGTCTATAACCTAAAGGACTGCAAAAGGACATTTTAGCCCTTTAGACCTTTGGGAGAGCAAGTACCAGTCTCCTACAGAGAACATGGCAAAAGCCTCCCCGCTGCTTCTCTATGGTCCCAGGCTCCCAGGTAGGGAAGATTTGACCCACAAATTCAGCTTTCTTTTGGCCTTTCGGAGTCTAGAAGGCACCCAGGTGAGGTTCATGTTCACCTGAGAAGTCCACAGACTGCTCAAGTTCAAGCTCTTCAAAGATCCACTGATATATCTAGACCTTTCCCACAGGATAGGACACGTAATACTAGTTCCTCTGCTAGAATTCCAAGAGTCTAATCTCCCATAAATCTATAGCTGCTTGACACAGGGAAGGCAAGTAGCTTAGAGTCAGGAATGAGACAAAGCACACTGTTCTGTCAAATGTTAGAGTTTTATCCAGAATTTTAAAGATACCATGCTGTATATATCCATCTACAACCTGTATTTTTCTTCTACTTAAAAACATGTCTGAGGGCACCTGGGTGGCTCAGTCGGTTAAGCGGCTGCCTTTGGCTCAGGTCATGATCCCAGGGTCCTGGGATCAAGTCCCGCATAAGGCTCCCTGCTCTGCGGGGAGCCTGCTTCTCCCTCT